CGGGGAAGAGAGGGGAATAGGTTCAAAACTGAGGCAGCAAGAGTACAAGGGACTATAGTAATGGCACAGGGGTGAATTGGTGGTGGGAAGTCCATGGGGATTACAACTGAGATAAAAAAAAATGTGCAAAGTGAAGAACAATGTAAATATATATGTATATATAAAACTATACATATATAGAGGTGTTATTGACATTTATTGGCCTCTTGACCAAATTCAGAGAATAAATAAAAATACGAGCAATTTTAAGTAATGGCAGTGTGCCAGGCTCTGTGTCTGGTATCCTTCAGATAGTATTTCATTCAGTTGTCACAATAACCCTAAGGAATAATAGTTTATTCCCATTTTGTCAGTGAGTATCAGAGATTGAGTAACTATTATTCAGGGTATCACAACTAGTGTGTAGCAGAGCCAACATTAGAATCAGTGCAGCTAATTAGAATCAGTGCAGATTCCGCAGCTCCATTTTCATAACAAATGTTATTCTGTTTCATGCTTCTGCCTTTATCAAGAAATACAGTGCTTTCCCATTACTGACAGGAAGCTTTGTTAATCATGATAATCAATGCTGCATAGGATCTAACCTCTTTACTTTCCTTCCACTCTATTCAGCACTCTACTCTAACACTTCTAAATGGGCTGTATACGTTCCTGTGCCTTTTGCTCAGTTGTTTCTCTGAACCTAGAATGTTTTTTTCTGATAATGGAGCCCACTCATTGTTTAGAGTTTAGATCGAATGCTTGCTTTTCCATGAAAATGGTGTTATCTTGTCAATTGAAATACTTCTGCTTGATCATCATATAAATTTCACTATGTCTTGGCCCTCCCTGGTGGTGCAGCAGGTTAAAGCACAGCACTAAGAAGCTTAAGCCACTTCCGCATGAGTTCGATCCCCGCCTGCCCCAGAGGAGATCCACATGGCGTGGCAGATCTCTCCTGACCCGCCTGCTGCTCCCCTCAGCAGTGTACTTCATCAATCTGCCTGTTCTGCTCCCCACTCTGTCCCTGGTGAATCCTCTCACCCTCCACATCTCTGGCCTGTACCCCAGTTCTGTATGAATAAATAAATCTTTTTAAAAAAAAATTCACTATGTCCATCTCACAGTACAATTTTGAATATGTAATTACTATTTTTTCTCACACTTGTGTTTTGGCCTGTGATTATTTCGTTGTTGTTTTTTTTTTTCTAGAGTGGAGAAGAAGAACTGGGAAATCCATGAGAGGAGGATGAAAGATCAGTACCTTATGGCTCTTTCAGACAAAGATCAGCAGCTCATTCGCTTGCAGAATCTTATGAGGGAATGGAGACCTTCTTCTCAGACTGAGATAGTCAGAAACCAATACCAAAGACAGGTATGTAATGTCATTGTTGCTGACATTGCTGCTTGAAGATAACTGTTGCCCGGGAAGCAGCAGTTTCCTGCAAGCTAAGTGCCCATTGGCCATCTTCTGATTTCTTAGGAGGTAGCTAGAGGCTTTGGAGGAAAGCATGTAGCATAAAGTATCATAACAAAGAAATTCAGCAGTGCTTGTATCCTAACAGGCATCCTTAGAGACAACACCCCCTGATTTGTCGCAAAACCTAGTTTACGAGACGGAAGTTCTCAGGAGCCAGCTCAATGATAGCTTAAAGGAAATTCACCAAAAAGAATTAAGAATTCAGCAGCTAAACAGCAAGGTAAGTTTTTTTCAGCTCAACTAATTTTTGAGTGTTTGTTTTCATAACTGGAAACAAGGAAGAGTCCTATCTTCTTTGAACATTGGTTCACAGAATGTTTATATAAACATTAACCCAGAATGCTAATTAAAAAAAGGATGTTCTTTGATTGATATATAGTCTGGCCCTCCCTAGTAGCGCAGAGGTTTAAAGCACTGCACTAAGAAGCTAAAGCTACTTTAGCATGAGTTCGATCCTCGCCCCAGAGGTGATCCACATGGCACGGCACCCTCTCCAGACCCACCCACTAAACCCCAGACAGTGTACTTCGTCAATCTGCATGTTCTGCTCCCCAGTCTGTCTATGGTGAATCCTCTCACCACCCCTGAACCTCTGACCTGTACCCCAGTTCTGTATGCATGAATAAATTCTTTATAAAAAAAAAAAAAAAACAGAAAAAATATATAGTCAGGTTCTTTTCATGTAATGTACATCATCATGCAGTAAGTACTTTGAAGAGACATCTTTGTGGTTGTTTTTGTATCTGGATGTTAGCCATACTTAGAACCTCAAACTAACAGCTTGGAAGCTTAGAATTACAATTATAGAAAGCCAAGTTCAAATCAACGAGTAAGTTTTTCTTTCAGTATAAAAATAATTTGTTTTAGACCAGGTGAAAAATTGGGCTGTTTTCCCAAGTAGTAAGTACCCCTGATACTACCAGGGTTCAAGGAAAGACCAAAACACTACCTGTTATTCATGTAGTACAGGAAGTTCTGCTTTGAGTGACTGAAATGTATCTCCCCATGAGAGTATGTGCTTCCAATTAGCTTCTCACATGGACGTCGGCATAGTAGAATGTATTTTATTACTCTATCCAATATCTTATTATAATTTCTTACTCTGCTTTCAGGGTAACTTGTAAGATTGTACAAAATTCAGTGACAGCTCTAACTCCAGTCACCTCCAACTCTGTAGGTTAAGTCATTTCTGAGTAAGATCAACTTGGACCCACACTACAGCCTATCTTATTAGGGAGTTTATGGATTTCTACTTCCTGGCTTTTCAGTTAATGTTCTAGTCACCATCAAGTTTTCTGCTACTCCGCCAAAATTGTTTTCCTTTCTCAGTCAAAAAAATCCTGATTTTTCTCTATTTGTAGGAATACACAGGGCTGTTGTTGCCTTTATTGAACAAAAAATATTTGCTAATGCCTTTTTCTAAGAATGATCTAAGAAAATTTGATCCTTAAAATTCAAGGGCAGTTAGCATATGTCCAGTGTTACAGGCTTACCCTCTCTCCTATTTCAGTTTTCTCAGCTACTGGAGGAGAAAAATACCCTTTCCATTCAGCTTGCTGATACCAGTCAGAGTCTTCGTGAAAACCAACAGCAGTACAGTAACCTTTTTAATCACTGTGCAGTTTTGGAGATGCGGATTCAAGAACTGCAAATGGTAAGAGAAAGGGAAAAGTGTTAAATGAGTGCCTATGATAAAGCATAAAGATAAAACACGGAAGAAACTCATGTGTTCAGGCCAAAGATTAATTTGATGTGATGGAAGAAAGTAGGAAGAGGAGAGTATTCATGGAGATGGGGATATTCTCTGCGAAAAATTAGAGTGAAAGAATTAGAAGAAAATAAAGATCAGTGAAAGTGGGTGGAGAGAAATCAATAATTCAGTGAGGGACAATGATGACTGAGACTTTGGGAATGCTGAAACTAAGAAAATTTAAATTTTGCTTTTAGAAATGAGAAAAATGTAGGAGGATTTAAGCCTGAGGAACAGATCAGTATAGCTGTTGATGGTAGTGGAGAGGAACACACTGGCAAACTGGTGGAGACTGGGACCCAGTATGGGGACCACAGGACATGGGCCACTGATGGGGGCTTGGAGGGGTTGCTGGGTGAGAGAAGGAGCAGAATAGTGTGGGCAGCCATGAGCCTCCACTAAAAGAAAGCACATCAGTGGGGAGCCTTTAAATTTCAAGAGGACAGATTTAAAAAATGAGAATCTAAGAGGAAAAATCCTTAAGAGTTTTATTGGAGGACCAAAAATCTATGAGAGCAAGAGATTGTCTTTTCTAACTCTATAGTTAAAGAGCATTCTAAATGGAGGGATTCCTCTCCAAGATTTCTCATTCTCTCCAATGTTAAACAAATCCTCATTGTGCCCAAGAGGAGTTACTTAACATTCTCACCGTTGAATTACTAAACTTATTCTTCCAGGAGTCATCCAGTACAGATGTTGTTACAAGCGTTCCCCTGAGTGAGAGTGATAGTCACGGGAAGAATAATCCTGGAGAACAGAAGGAAATACCTGTCAGGTGAGGAGCGCCTCTGGGCCATGTAGTGTGCACAGCATGTTCAGAATTTAGGCAGCCCCAGACAGTCTATTGTATGTCTTACTATCATATTGTCCTCAGATTTAATGTGAAGATTATATAGTAACAAATATAACAACCAATTATCTGTGAAAAGTTTGTAAAGCAGAACCAACAACACCACACACACACAAGCACCCACCAATGACCCCCTGGGATGTAAATGACGCTTCAGTGAATCCGTAAAATCGTAAGGCAGATTGATGCAGCTTTATTTTATCTCTGTAGCTGTGCTTTAAAAATATTCCTTTGTATTTGTATCAGCTCCTATAAATTTTCATGCTTTATAGCCTCATGAAAACCTTGAGTCTTTTGTATCAAGTGTGCTGCCTCTACTGATGATGTGTATTTTCCTTTTGTCCTAAAGCATTCCTGAAGCCCACTATCAATTTACCAACACTCAACAAAAGATAAATGAATTGAGGAAGCTGCTGGAAGAAGAACGAGACCAAAGAGTGGCAGCCGAGTCTGCGCTGTCCTTGGCTGAGGAACAGATCCGGCGGTAAGAGGCTGAGGGAGCCCGCCCCTGTTCGCTTCTCATCCTTTTTCCTCAGATTCATGGACATGCCAGTTCCCAGACACCAGAATATTTAGGGTCTTATTTGGATCCTGAAATGGGTGCTGAGATGAGTTTCGGTCAGTGTAGTCACCCAAGAAAACTTTAAATTTTGGGAAGCTAAGAGATCTGTATTTTTGTGTGGGAATAAATACGCCATCGGTCACATCCCGACAATAACTATGCATGTGATCTTAAAAAGGCCGGATCATGTCATGCTTAGTGAGATAAGCAGAAAGAAAAAGAAAAATACCGGATGGTTTCACTCATAGCAGGAGTATAATGGACCAGGCAAGAAAATAACAAAAATAATGAACAACCATATACCAGAGACATTTTGCGGGGGTAGAGTGGGGAATGGGATCAAAAACGTGGGGGTGGGAGGGAAGTGCACGGGATTATGGTGATGGCACACGGGTGACATGGTGATGGGAAACCCGCAGGGATTACAATTGAGATGGAAAAAAAATGTACAAAATGATGTAAAAATAAACTGTTATAAAACTTAAAAAAAAAAAAAAGGACATAAAAAATGGATAAAAAAAAAAAGGCCAGATCATGGACAACCCTGCACCTGCTCTGAGTTCTGGAATCAGTTGACATTTGCTTTACAGGTTAAAACATAGGAGATTAAAATTCCACATTTTAAGCTGATATAAAAGGATGTAGTTTTTAATTTGGTGCTATATCCCGTGGCAAGATGACTAGGAAGGCTTTACCAGCTTAGCCTCTCGTGCCAGTGACATGCCTTTTGTTCTAAACACAGGTTGGAGCACAATGAATGGAACTCTGCCCAGACTCCTCTCATTTCCTCTCATGACTCTCAGGAGCAGTCACTATTCATAAATATGCCAGAGAGCACTTATCGAAGGGTAAGAAGGGTAAAGAGAGGGTATGTTACTATCAGCCAAGCTGCTGCGGGCAAGGGGTCGGAAGACTTTCAGGACCTTGACATTTGTGGGTCAAGACTAGAAGGGTTTGGAAGATTGGAAGAACCTGGAAGAATTTACCAGCTGCAGTGCACACTCAGGGAATATTCTCTCAGGATAACTTCTCTGTGGTGGCTGAGGAAGGGAAAGGAACCTGTTTCTTTAGAGTGAAACTCTCAAATTTTTCTTTCAGTTCCGGAATCGACCTGGATGGAAACGGATCCTGCGTTCGCTTTGTAATTCCCGGGCCCGAGGGCCAATTCTGGCAACCATATACTTTGTGTTGATTCATATACTACTTGTCCTGTGCTTCACAGGACACCTATAAATTTAGTCGCTCCTCAACCTGATAGTCCTTACAAAATAAACAAGCAAAAAAACAAAAAGCCCGTTTGTCTTTCATCTTTGAACACCAAGTCTTTCCATGGACAGTTGACCTCTCCTACTTTCCATAGAAAATACCCAGATAGGACAGAGGCCAGTTTCTGAGCACAGGTTAGAGCTGCAGGGTCAGCAAATCCACCTCTACTATGCAGGGCCTGACTCTTCTGCAGTCTGAGGCAGCCCCACAGCTGGCTGTTGAGCCCAGTATCTGTTAAGACTTTTTACTGCCCTGACCGCCTGCCATCCCTGGAAAGATAATAAGGAATATCTTTTAGCCAGGAGGATGGTTCCAATAAGCTTAAAAGGTCCAGTATCCTTTTTGAATAATACTCTCAAGATTGTTTTGTTTATTTTAAATATTTTCACCAGCTATGGAGGAAAGTTAGCAATGTCATAAATTTCTGGGGAACATCATCTCGTAGGGCATCTTGGAGCATAGGGTACAGATGAAGTAACTATTCAGACATCATTAGAGTGAGATTGTGTTCATGGACTGTCAGCTCTGATCCATTCCTTATGCCCTTGGCCACCAGTGTATACCATGTCATATAAATGCCCATGCTTTTCCTTTCTGAAAGGAAGGAGGAACTGACTCTAGCTAGACAAGAGTGGGATTTTTATCATTCCCACTTCACCTGGTTATGCCACAAATGTGAGCATTGACGCTCAGCTGGTCCAGGTGACCACTACTGACCTCTAATACACTAAGCTATTTGTATATGATGGCCATTATCATTCCAGTCCTCCTCCCCATAGTCTTCTTTGACAACAAAGTTGAGAAAAAAAATTGGGGGGAAATTATATGGGAAGACAAAACGTTCAAATCTAGAGAATGACAGCCAGGGTTGACTTCAGTCTGCGTCTATTCCTTTCCCTCCCCCACTCCCGGCTTTCCTACTTTATTTTTTCTTTGTACACATGGTATGTCCCCTGCCTGCTGTTAGCACCCAAAGGAAAGAGAAAACTAATGATTAACTAACTCTTTATTATGTGATACCCGAATCTTGGCCACAGAAACTCCAAACTTTCTTGAACAACTGTAAAACAATAAAATTATTTTCAGAATGAACAATGTCATGTGCATATGTTTTAATGTACGTCTACACTGTTGCTTACCTACATGTGTATGGGTGCTGAGGTAGGGGACAGGTAAGGTAGAGAAGGGAGGCAGGGATGGAATAAGCAGGAATGTATAATGGGATAGAAAGCTCTACATATTCAGGCTTCCTTATCACTGGCCATCATCAACCATGGCTGCAGGGGGTGTTCTACCACAGGCCACGAGACCCCAGGATGATGAGGTGGAATAAGTTTATTTACTCTTAATACCAAACCCAGCAAGCTAGGCCTTAAGAAATGAGATGCATGCAGGTTTTTATGTAAATCTGGGAAAATTCCTAGTAATGCATATTGAATTAGATATGGAACTAGGTCTGTTGGAAACCTTCTGGGTGGAAGTGGAGAAAGAGAACAAGAATAAGGTATTGCAGGACAGGCACTGTGTTTATAAAGTTGTTGCTTATCTCAAGGTACAGTAAGTGAATTGAACTGAATGTATCTGTTTCATGCTATTTTTTAAAGGTTTATTTTTGTGTAGAAGAACAGATGTGTAGGCCAGTGGGGGTGAGAGGATTCATCAGAGA